TCTTCCATTTTCCTGTATTTTGATAATGTTTTAATTATGTTTTATATAGATGATCATGATTAGGTTGTTAGCAAGCAGATAAGCATCATGTAGGTTTGCTTATGTGCATGTTTTTCGCTTTATTTTATATGTTTTAGTTAGGTTATACTTGCTGCATGTTTGGTTAGTTTGTTCATGATATAAGCATGCATATGGCTCAATATAAATATTGTATAATATTCTAATAAAAAAAATATTGTATAATATTTAGCATGTTTGATGTTATTTGTTAAGTGCTTTATTTGCATTAAATCATAATTAGTAGACTTAAGTCGGGCTTAGGTTCATGTTGTGTGTGTTTAGTTACATGTTTAGGTTCATATGTACTATTTAATTCATATCATGCATGTTTGACGCTTTGTAGTGGAATTCGAATAAGTTTTCTTGACTTTCATAGCATGTTGTTCTTCAAATAAAGCAAGTTATGTGCTTTTTAGTGATCCATTTAGTGTTTTGAATTTTTTTGTGAATATTACTTGATTTGGATTATGTTTATGTCATATAAGTTAAAAGCTCTCTTTTTTATAAAAATCATCAACTCTTCTTACTTCCCATTCTCATTTCACAAAAGTTTATAAACCTCTTATTGATTTCAAATTTATTTCCCCTGATTCCAAATTCTCATTACACACAACAAATTATCAATTCTCCCTCTAGCCATTAAAACTCAACTAGTCAATTTATAATCATAATCCAACACCCTCTTCATTTCCCTGAAATCTCGATTCCACGACAATCATTACAACTCAACAATTATAAAACCATCAACAATAATTAACGAGTAATGTTAGGGATCATGAAAAAAATATTATAAAAATGATCATAAAAGATTCTCCACCTTTAGATTACACACACAATAAAACACCACACACTAATCAAAGGATGAAAGATTTTCATGATGCATTTTATGATACTTTTTTCATGATACTTTTTTCATGATCCCTAGTATTATTCATAATTAACACAAATAAAATTCATGATCACTTTCTTTATTTTTCTCTTACACCCATTTTCACATTTCTAATACGCAATACTCCATATAGTTCAAATAATGTTAAATCAATAACTTTCATCTTTTTCTCATAACCAATAGACAAACAATTAGGGCTTTTTACTTTATTATGTACTGATTGATTCGGGGTCTACCCATTCATATATGTCGCATGTTTTTTCGCGAAAACTGAATAGACCATTAAAACCCATGAATTATTTGTTAGCCGTATCATCACCCATTGGGGAATCTATGACCTGTGCATATATGTATCCTGCTTGTGAAATTATTGTTGGAGATGCACATCTGTTTATTGATTTACTGCCACTAAACATTGACCATTTTGATGTTATATTGGGGATGGACTGGTTAACGAAATATCATGCCACCATAGACTGTGTAACGAAACAAGTAGTTTTCCGTCCACCTGATTTGCCTGAATTTGTGTTTAATGGGGTTAGAGTAGTACCTCCTCCATATCTGATTTCATCTGTGAAAGCTGTTAAATTGATTAGAAAGGGATGTAAAGGATATCTGTGTTTTGTATTGACTGTATCTACTGATGGTATTGCTAATGTGAACAGTATCCCCATAGTTAATGAATTCCCAGATGTTTTTCCAGATAATCTGCCAGGGGATTTGATTGATCGGGAGATTGAATTCACCGTGGATGTGATTCCCGGAACGCAGCCAGTATCTAAAGCTCCTTACCGAATGGCTCCAACTGAACTGAAGGAATTGAAAGTGCAATTGCAGGAACTGTTAGATAAGAAGTTCATCAGGCCTAGCACTTCGCCTTGGGGTGCTCCTGTTTTATTTGTGAAGAAGAAAGACGGCTCACTGAAACTGTGCATTGACTACCGTGAACTGAACAAGGTAACTGTGAAAAATAAATACCCATTACCGCGCATTGATGACTTATTTAATCAGTTACAGGGTGCACAAGTCTTTTCTAAGATTGATCT